TTTGACCAATGTTAGAGAGGCTTTCTACAAACATTTATGATGACTCAGTAGCAGATTTGGTGATTAAAATAGCCTCTTGTTACCTAGCCACCAAGACTGGGATTACACCAATTTGTGGTAACACTGCTGTGTTTAGATTGCATTTTAGTAGAGACATGAACACATGCTTTGCCTTCAGTTCTGAATACAGAGCATTTGGGCATCACAGAGTCTTCAGTTTAAGTGCTACATATGTTTAGCCTGAGATTTTCTTGCCTTAAGTGGCATCTCAAATCAAGGAAGACTTTAAGAAAGTTTTTGAATTCATTCCCAGGTGCTTTCAAATAGCTTTACCCTCCTGGAGTTGGCACCATCCAAGTATAAACATGACAGCTAAACACTATGGCCACCATTTTATATTATGGTATGCATCCTTCAAAGATGCCAACAACATTTGGCTATTTCCTTTTATCTATCTATTAATGGCACGTGTTAAATCTTTTTTCAGACACACTTCCCATATCTGGTCTTCCAAAGGGTCATGAAGAAATGGATAGGGCTGCTTTAAAGTGCAGCTGCTCTTAATCTCTTCTGGATGATTTCAGAGAACTGCCTTAATGCATACCTGGGAATTCACAAGTGGATTCCCAGCAGATGCATCATTGATAGCAAACAAAATTGAACGAAAAGACCAAACAGCAACCATTAATGCATATGATCGAAATGTTTGACATAGAAAGCATGTAAAATTAATTCATGCCCACTATTTACTAACCTACGTCTACTGTATATGGAATGCTATTACATATGCCTTCATTTTCCAGCTTCATTGCTTGATCACTACTGTATGCAAATTGCTTTTGAAACAAAAAGAATGTGTTTTCCTGTCACTGACCAAATTTCATTGGCTCAATTTACAGAAGTGTATGAAGAAGATAGAAGCCATTTTTCTTATTTAATATGTAGGCTGAGAATACACTCATATGGACACCTGCTTGGGAAGAAGCCACTCTTGAATTCAGTGGACTCCTTTCTAAATAGACATGCTTAGAATTGCACTGTTCATTCATGACAGTGCTTGCTACTGAGCCTCAGGATACTGGGACTAACAATTACAGAAACAAAATTAAGTTGCTTTTCAAGTCACAATTCTGGTCTATGTAGCAGTATCAGGAGTCTTTCATAATCTTACTTGGAGGCTGAAATAGCAACTCTAAACAAAATAACTTTTATATTCTTGGTATAAGGAGTATTACTATTAGACATGGGGGGGTTCATTTTCATTGATGAAAATGAATCCCACTGGCACAGGTGGCCAGCCCAATTAACATCCACCCCCAGAACCTGCTGGATCACTTACTACACATTGCCGGGCTGGCATCATCGACAGCATGCCAATCATGGCAGTAACCTGGCTAGTGAAGCCCTGCCTCCCTATTCACCTGGTCACTACAGCTGTTAATGACGCCTGTTGCTCACACCACATAGTAGGTGGTCCAATGGGTTCTGGGGGCAGTTGTTAATTGGGCTGTCCACCTGTGCTGGCGGGATTCACTTTCATTGATGAAGATGAATCCTCCATGTCTACTATCTTACAAGAAAAGTAACCTTTTACAAAAAATATATAAAATATATAATGCACAATACAATAAAAGGTAAAGGTAAAGGTTTCCCTTGATAATTTTTGTCCAGTCGTGTTCGACTCTAGGGGGTGGTGCTCATCCCTGTTTCCAAGCCATAGAGCCAGCGTTTTGTCCGAAGACAATCTTCCGTGGTCACATGGCCAGTGCAACTTAGAAATGGAACGCTGTTACCTTCCCACCGAGGTGTTCCCTATTTATCTACTTGCATTTACATGCTTTCGAACCGCTAGGTTGGCAGGAGCTGGGACAAGCGGCGGGAGCTCACTCCGTCGTGTGGATTCGATCTTACGACTGCTTCGTCTTCTGACCCTGCAGCACAGGCTTCTGCGGTTTAGCCCACAGCGCCACCACATCCCTGATGCACAATACAATAGGATCCCCATATTTATGAGAGATTGGTTCCACTCTACCGTGGATATCCAAAACCGTGGATACAAACAAACCCTATATAAATACAACATTAATTGGGGCAGGATAAAGGCTGAAGACAGTTTCCGTTGTCACATGGCCAGCGTGACTAGGGCTGTGGATAGGGCTGTGGCAAATCACAGATAATCAACATTTTTAATAACTCTGATGGGACCCATGCTATTACATATGCCACATTAATATACTTTGACCTGAAATAAAATGTGATAAGCTGCAGAAAACACTAAGGGAGTTCTGTTTATTTTTTTCCAGTTGCATGCACAGCAGTGCATTTCACCAGAAGTACACTGCATTTCTCATGTGCAGATAATGTGGAATAAGATGTCCATATAAGTTTTTATGTTAGGGAATTAGACCATTGTATACTGCCTTTGTTTTTAAAGGTATAAAATATATAAAATTTATACTCTATATGTTAAGTCTCTAAGGCACTAGAAGGCTCAAGGGGTATTTTAGCTGCAATAGATTTTACACGGGTATGTCTGTGGAACCTGTGACTTGATCAAGCTTAAGTACAACTGGATAGAATCCAAAGAGATGCTTCTACTGATGGATCTCTTTCTGCCTGGGAGACAGAAAGCCTTGCTGTAACTTCCATGCACTCCTATAATCTGCACTGGAAGGCAGCAGCTGCCTGTCGTGACCACCTCATTCTCCCTAATAGCAGGACTAGCCCCTAAAGCAAAACCAGGCAACTGTGGCCCTGCACTTGTTTGAGGGCTGGAGTACCCATACCTCCTCACCTATGTTAGGATTGATGGGACCCACAGGCCAAAAGACATCTAGAGGGCCTGTGCTGCCTGCCTATGCCATACAAGCATGAAAAATACTTCAGCAGCAATCACTAGTGTTCTGCCAATATTGCTTTCTTCAACCAACACGGAGTGTTCAAGAGGTATGGTCTGTTTAGAGGTTTCCATGCTTAACAGAAACCTTTAGGATAGCCACTGGGAAGCTGCCCTATGTACTTCTAAATAAGAAGCAATGACCCCTCCCCTCCAGTTCATTGAACATTTGACCTTGAAATACGTAACATGATCACACAAATGCCTTCTGCTTAACATATGCCCAGATTCCATGGACAATCTACAAAGCTTCTATGTCAAATAACTCTCCAGCGTTAACACCATCCCACATCAGCCAATACATTCTCCCAAATAGTCACCCTCCGAAGTATCATTTCTCTGCTGGTCTAACTCCCAGTCAGGAACTATAGATCACTCACAACATATATGCACTGCAACCCAGTGTTTCTAGCTTGAACACCTCCTCTGTATCCATCAGGGCTAGTTGTTTCCTTCATTGTGTAACCTGCTATCCAGCATGCCCAGAAGCGTTGTTCACAATGAAATTATGAAGGATGAGGAAAGACAATGGCAAGCTGACTAAAAAAGTGAATTACATCAGATCACATAAATATGTTAGAATAGTCTTCATAAGCCAAATCTTTTCTTTTTCTCTGTCTTCTCACTCCAGAACCAGATTTATTTCCAGCAGTATCTTCCTTAAGGCCTGTGCTACTTTTAGTTATATGGACACAGCAGCGGGCAATAGATACTGGTGTAGAGGGGCGGGGTAAAAATCCATTAAATAAATAAATAAATAAAAATAAATATGTTGTACAATTTCTTGTTGGCTGTTGAATGAAGCTGCAATACAATCAAGGTTGTTTCAGAAAAAACAAATGGAGAGAGGAAAAACATAAATCGCCTGGGATTGCCAGGAAGAGATTGCTACTTTTGAATTAATGGGAGTGAGGACAAGTGGCTGGCATCATCGACAGCATGCCAGTCATGGCAGTAACCTGGCTGGTGCAGCTAGCCCTTATTTTGAAAATAAAGAGTGTATGGGAGAGAAATTCCCACCAAAATAGAGCTGTGAAGAAGCACAGCTCTAAATATCAGAGAAGGCAAGCTGGTGCTCCTACAGATGTTTTGAACTATGATTTTCATAAAATCCATTTAGGATGGCTCATGATCAGGGATTACAGAAATTGCAGTCTGAAACATTCCAGGGCCCTGGAGTAGACTTATGTATCCCTGAAACCTCTCCTTTCAACTCAAGGGGTTTAAGACCTGGCTATAGAAATAGTAATTGTGCATCCCATCTCTCTCTATTCATTTTTTCTGAAACAACCTTGATTGTATTGCAGCTTCAATTAACAGCCATCAAAAAATTTTGTGTGTGTGTGTGTATTATAAAAAATATGGGATGCATAATTTCTGTATATATTGTTAATGTAGAAAACTGAATATGTTATGAATAGAGATAGTATTCGTATTTGTATATGAATACAAATATCCCTCACTGGTGGAATTAACGAGGGTCTGGCCCCCTGGAACCAGACTGAGCACTCACGATTCAGCCACTGACACGAGCTCAACGGAACCTTCCTATTGCTCCATTGTCTGCAATGGATTAGCCAGTCCTGGCAGAAGGCAGGATGATGAGCCTCTCTGCCAGGTCACAGAGTGGCTAATCCACTGCAGACAACAGAGCAATAGGAAGGCTCCATCAAGTTTGCATCAGCGGCAGAATCGTGAGTGGACATTCCGGCCCCATGGGGATGGACCTTCGTTATCTCCACCTGTGGGGGGATATTTGTATTCATATACAAATACCTCCATCTCTAATTATGAACACAAAAGAAGAAGAAAGGAAAAAAGCTATAGTGTAGTTCCCAGTGCTTCTCTTAATAATTCAGTGAGCAAACTGAATACATTCTAACACATTCCCTTCTTCTGGAACTCTAAAACAGAGGAAAATCCATAATGTGCGGAAGAGACAACATATCAGAGCAAATGTTATTTTCCACCAACATTTTCACTCAAACTTTTGAGTCACCTCAGAATTTCCTAAAATCCAGCATAAAAAAACACTGTTACTTTCATAAATTTGAAAGACTAGGACAAGACTGAAACAATATATGTTATTTCATATTTTGTGCTGAAATGCTGCAGAATTATTAATAAGATAGCCAGAGGCATACTGGCATTTACAATACACAAGTCATATTTTCAAGAACAAAGTGGATCACTTTAATAACCACAAAGGTTGGTCACTATTTAACACAACATTCTAATAAAAAGTCACCATAGGTTTCATTTTATAATAAATTTACAAGTGGGTGGTATACATTTAGATATAGAGGTAGAAGTTCACTTTTACAATATTCCTCTAATACAGATTACCAAATTCAAGGCACAAAATTATTCTTACAAAAAAATTGTAAAAAAATTGTCTTCTGTTCTCTACTTCAAATACAGGTTGTGGAGGTTTGTAAAAATACATTTTTACGCTTCTTCCATGATTATCTTTTTAATGGCACAAGAACTAAAACTAAACTTCTTTTCTTAGCTCAGTTTGCTTTTGAATCTTATGCAAGAGCTCAACTTACTGCAGAGTGATGCGTGACAATATGGATAAATTATTTTTGTCATGAAAAGACTATGTAGTTGTGATTTAGATAGGCCTTCGTCATTCAAATATACATGTCAGTCTGAAAAAAGTTGACTCTGAAAAAACTAAGGGTTATACACAGCTGTAAATTATCTCCCAGTAAAGGGGAGAAGTATCCTGAATAATTTCATTTTGAAAACTTCCTAAAATATTACTTTTTTTTGAAGAATCAGGAAATATTTCATTAAGATGCATCTGTTCCACATTACCTGGCTGAATCCCTTGAAACACAGCCCAGTTACATCACATTTGTTTAAAGTGATTACCCCACAGAAAATACCACAAGAAAATTAATAGTTGCTGAAACCACTGGCCATCTTCTAGGTTGAATGACAACCTCAGGAGTAAATCTTACACAGTTATTTCTACAAAAAAAATGAGTAGCATGATACTGTACATTTAGTAAAGTTTCAAAATGACAAGGGTGACTAGATTTTATGAACCTGCTTTGCCTGTCACAATTTCCAAGATCTGGAGTCGCTTTATATACAGGATGTAAAAAACATTGATCTTCTGTTCACTATACAGGTATAAGATCCAAAAAGAATGCCACAGTAAAATGTTAAAAATTGCATCTGCTAAATGCAGACACACTTCACAATTGTCATAAGTTTTGATCATAATTAAGCCACCGAACAGTCCTTTGTAAAACATTAAATTCCATTTTTTGCTTCGTTGTTATTTGTAGCCTGCTTTCGTTGAGCAATGAAAGGGTACATACACTTGTCTGCTCCCAAAAACCGGTACATGCACACTACTGCTTCAAAAGGCAGGATGCTGAGAGAAGAAACAAAACAAGAAATATTATAAAAACTTTAGATGAGGGTTAGAAAAGTACTAATTTTTACCAAAAGAATTAAGAAAGCTAGAACTACTATCTATAGTTAATATACTCTCAGTAAAAGGTAAAGGTTCCCCTTGAAAATTTTTGTCCAGTTGTGTTCGACTCTAGGGGGCGGTGCTCATCCCCGTTTCCAAGCCATAGAGCCAGCGTTTTGTCCAAAGACAATCTTCCGTGGTCACATGGCCAGTTCGACTTAGACACGGAACGCTGTTTACCTTCCCACCGAAGTGGTCCCTATTGATCTACTCGCATTTGCATGCTTTTGAACCGCTAGGTTGGCGGGAGCTGGGACAAGCGACGGGCGCTCATTCCGTCGCGTGGATTCGATCTTACGACTGCTGGTCTTCTGACCCTGCAGCACAGGCTTCTGCGGTTTAGCCCGCAGTGCCACCACGTCCCTTACTGCCACCACGTCCCTTACTCTCAGTAGCAGCTGGTATCTGTTGTGGCTTGCTGGGGCAGAAGACAGAACACAGCTGAGTAGAATTCAAGGGCGAAATGGGTACTTATACTCACAAAGCAGGCAAGCAAGCTGATTGTTCACCTCCCACTATGTGTGAGTACCTAAGACAGGACCCTCACCTTCTGCTCCTAGTAAAGAGGCTGGCAGAAGTGGCCATGCTGAGGGAAACCTGAAATTGTGGTGGGGCAGTGACCCATATATTCTGATGGACTTGCTACTTTGTGCTCTCACTGAAGGCAAACAAAAAAGTAGCCAAAACCAACAAAGTAGTTGGGGGAGACAAAGAGCATTTTCAGCTTATTTGCTACTGAAACAGCCATCTCTCTTGTATAAGTAAGCAAAGCCTTCCAGAAAATGACAGATAATTGTTTAGGTAAAGAAAATGAACGTGTAGATTAGTGTTTGGTGTATGAAGTGTAGGATGGAGATTAGAAAAGTCTAAACTACTAAAAATTTATATTCTACTATGGTTCTCATATATGTTCTCAGAATTTAATATTAATTTATTGAAATCAATATATCCTGCCCTGTGTCTAGAGATCTCAGGACACATTATAGACAATAAAATCAAATGAAAAAATGAAAAAAAAAAGATAAAACAATTTAACAGAGTAAAACAAAAGACATGAGGAAAATCTGCAACCCATAGTTAGAGTCAAGCTATGGTTACTTGGTCCCAAAAGTCTGCATGAAGAGCCAAGTTTTAACTTAGCACCAAAGTGACACAAACATCTGCAGCAACTGGTTTCTCTATGGAGTCAAAGAACACCCGTTTTTAAAGATAGCAGGAAAAATAGAAATATTTCATGAAACCCTGAGGATGCTTCTTACTTAGCACTCCAAAACAAATTGATGCATTACCAAAAGAAAGTCTTCTAGAATGGTCTGCTCTTAGCTGCCCACACCCTGGATCTTTTGATGGCTTAAGGTATAGAAATAATGTAAGCAACAATTTTAATTAAACTGATCACTACCTGTTTTAATATCAATGTATGTTGATACCAGTTTTAATATCAAGTCATTTCCTTGTAGATTATCTGGAAGCTGAGAAGTTGAGTCATGGAAACTAGACTTATTTTGTTAGAAAAAGTTGACCCTGCCCTCCTGAAGCAATAGACAAATAGCTGCTACATACCACGTTTACTCACTTCACTTCATGGAAGGAGCTTGTACCAATTAAGTTAAACCAAGTGCACCATCAGAAGGCAAACATATAGAGTTGTTTTCCAGCCCAGAGGTTACAGGGAAAGGGCAAATTCAGTACTAATTAACTTTCCCCACACCACTAATTAAGAAGAACATCTTGCTTTTCACTCTTGTCCACCTGTGAATTCCACATGAACACTGTAGAAAAAATGTTTGTGAAAGATGCTTTATTAAATATGGGTGGCAGCTGGGCCTGGTGTAAGGTTTTTACCTTTCTGTGAACTATAAAAGTTCCAAACATCACAGGAGTCAAGAGGGAGATACTGTGTATCTCAGTGCAGAGTACATTATTTGGAAGCAAAAGCTCAGGTTCAATCTCTGTCATCATTAGGTTAAAGGATTAGGTACCAGGTACCGCAGAGAGCTTCTATCAGTTAGAGTAGTCCAGTGTTTCCCAACCTAGGGGTCAGGAATTCGAAGGTGTCACAAAGTGTTTTTTGAGAGGTTGTGGGTGTCCTTATATATGTTGTAGACCTTGTTCAATAATTTCTTCCTTGACCTTTCAGAGCCAAATATAGACCAGATGGGTGGGATACAAATCAAATCAAAACAAATCAATCAATCAAATATGTATATGTATGAGAAACAGGCCCTTTGGAGGAAAAAGAAGCCTCTACTTTCTGAGAAGAGACAACATTACACTATTAAAAATGTCTTTTTATGCAAACATGGTGGGGAGTTGCAGATATTTATAAAAGGGGGTCATGACTCGAAAAAGGTGGTAGACAGTATCAGACTACAGAGATAAAAAGGAAAATGGTTTGTAACAAGGCTGAGAGGATGCCCCTATGAGAACACTGCATCTATGCCACATAAAGTTTTACATTTCTTTATAAAAAGACTGTAAGCTGTAAAATAAATTCTCATATGTATTCTGATTCCCAGCCTCATACAAGCTCTAAGGGATTATAGAGCTTCTCTACATGAGCCTGTTTATGCTACCTAATTTTCACTGTCAATACATAATTCCAACTGACTGAACAGGTTGCAGACTAGCAAGAAATGTCATACAGTATTCCTGTAAGCTCTTATGTGTGAAAGAAGCACATGTCAAGTGCTGGTCAAGATGTCTATGTAGTCACCTTTTCATAAAAGTCACCATATACATCAGGCGAGGTGTGCAAATCATAGGCTGGTCTGTAAGTATAGCTCTCATAGCTTGTTTTACACAGTAATCTGGTTTCAAAGGTGGAAGGAATGGCTCAATTTCTTTTCTGAAAGAAAGCAGCAAGTCACACTTTAGAAATGTGTTTACAGAAATGTACATGTAGTGAGAAAACCCAAGTAATGCTAAGAGCACTCATATCTCGCTGATATTAGCAAGGGCAAGATTTACAGATGAGATCAACTTTCTGCTACTGAGATCAATGGGACCTTTATTATTTAATGCACTTTTAATATTGTACCTCTGTCAATAAGTGTCTAGCATTTTACAATAAAACTAGAAAAAAGATTATGATACAACAATTTTTTAACAAGCAAGAACACAATAGAAAATTACATGCATGACAATAATAGGGTGTAGATACTTTAACCCTCCAGATATTTTGGACATCAACTCCTAGAAGCTTCAGCCTGTATGGACAGTGATGAGGAATTATAGGATCAGTAGTCTAAAAAGATCAGGGCAAAATCCTGCTAGGAAAAGCAAAGCATAATAGTTCTGTGCAATTTCTAGCTTGCTCCACTGGGAAGGGTGGAGCATTCACATGGGCAAGGAGTTAGTGAATATCTCTTGCACAAACACTAGAAGAAATGCACCCATGCCAGAGGGTGTTGGGTTAAAGGTTCACCTGCACTGCTCTAAACCAAGGAGGTGGAACTGGGTAAAGAAATTATAACTGAATGTTCGGTGGAAGCATGGGGGGGCAGGTTTCCCCCAGCACTAACATAAATCAAATAGCAAGAAACCCAACCTGATCTCTCTGGGGAGGGAATTTGATGGTCTCATGCCCTTAAACAGTTTCTTAATTAGAAAGTTTGTTCTGTATTGCAGAAGTATGTAAATATAAATTGAATAAACACTGCCCCAAATCCTGTTACTTATTTATTCTAGTAAAATGCAATTCTCATAAATCTCAGTGGTAAATTGCCAAAAGTTAAAGAAGTTCTGGAGAATTCTGGGAGTTTCAGTCTAAAAAAAAATAAAGAGAGAGAGAAAAGAATGGCACAGCACTATAAGAGGCATTGATGTATTACCAGAAAAGCAAAGGCTAATGAGCTGTTAACTTTGAGCTCGGGTTGAAAGATATTCACAATAATTTGTAAGTAGGTAAATGTTTTATTTCAGCAACCCCTAAATCTTGGTATTTCAATGTTTTCCTAAATGAAAATGGAAATAAGAAAGAGCATGTTTGTTTACCTAATTCTGCAGCCTCTGAACATTCCTGTGTCTACAAGGTAAGGGCAAACCAATGTTGTTTTAATACCATCTTTTTCTGCTGCTTTCAGTTCATGGCTCAGAGATTCATGAAAACCCACAGCTCCAAATTTACTGGCACAATAATCCTAGATTGGGAACATAAAAACAAATTTGAGGACTTTAGCAGGTTAGAAATTAGCTTTTTGTGTTTCTAAATCCAATATTTCTATGCAAAGCAACATTAAACAATGCTGACTTTGTCATTCATACTGCTTTATGTGGCTTTGTTTCTATTCATCAAACAGGATCACAAAGAAACAAAACAACAACCGTTCACCCAGATGTCTTTACCAAAGTTTGGCATGGCTTTCCATCCATGTAAAATTAATAAAGTATTTCTGTCATAAGAAATTCAGGGAACAATAGCAACAGCTAACCTCATTTTTCTTAGCTTTTACGCTTGTAATACTGTTTATTCATATTTTAAAAAAAATATATACAGGTATATTTGGCTTCATACCAAGTTTGGAAAAAAAGCAGAAACTACAGTGTGCAGTTTGTCTAAAGTTCTCAATCATTTCAATTCTTTTAACCATTGTTCAGAACCAGTGGAAAAATTAAGAAAGGAAGTCAATATTTATTTATTTGTTTGTTTGTTTGTTTGTTTGTTTGTTTGTTTGATTGATTTAGAGAGAAGATGCATTTTGAAAAGAAGAACATGAGTGAAACTTCCATGCATAACTGAGCTTCATAGGCGAAGAAATCTTCATCTCTCACCATCTGCAGTCTTTGCTCAAGATGAAGAAAAATTATTTGGGATGAGCATCATAACACAAAATACAAAGAAGTGCAACTTCTAACTCTTTCTCGTTTTATATTTTACAGACATGGGGCAGCAAATGGGGTGGGGGGAGAGAAAGAGATACATGCAGACAATTCAAGGAAAGGAACCAGGACAACAGTGGACAGGATTTCCATTAAACCACCGCAGTTAGGATGTGTGCTGCTTAACCCAGCAACTTTCCATAGCTTCCTGGAAATTTGGTTACTCGCAATGAATACATAGGCTAAACCAATTCTAGTGTGCTGTGTCCAGTCTGCTTGCTCACTAATGAGTTCTTTTTATACAGCATGCCAGAGAATAATGGCCAATCTAGAAAGACAATCAGAACACTTGACTAATGAATTATTACTGGCAGTGTAAAATAAGTCTAGCAAGACAAAGAGCTATTAGGAACAAAAACAGACTGTTAGCTGTGCGCTCCTAAAAAGCAGAAGGAAAACTGATTTAAAGAAAAGATCCTGTAAATTCTGCCAACCATGGACCTTCGAAGAAATTACTGGCTTGTGTGACTGATATTTTTCTGCTACAAAAAGTGGAAGAAGAAACTAGAGAACTATCTATCCTGGACTTGATTTTAACCACTACAGATAACTTATTAGAACAAGTGGCAGTAAGGGGAAAGTGACATGCTCTACTGGAATTCTTGTTTTCAAAGCAGAGTGTAACCACATAGGTACGCTAGGTTTTATGACAATTTTAACAAAGTCAAAGCAATTATAAATAAGGACCCGTGGCAGGATAGGCAGGATATCTTAATAAGATATTATAGGTGGGAGTTTCTAAAAAAGGAAATTCTGAAGGCACAACTACAGACAATTCCAACAAGAAAAAAAAAAAGCAGAAGACAGAAAACGACCAATGAAGTTTCACAAAGCTCAGAGAGGACCTGAAAATAAAAAAGAATACATATTGGAAGCGGAAAGAAAGCCAGGAAACAAAGAAATAGTGCAGACAGGGAGCAAAGAATTGCAGGGATGGCATTAGAAATGCCAAAACTCAGAATGAGCTGAGATTAGCAATATACGCTAAAAGCAACAAAAAAGCATTCTTGAGGTACATGCGTAGCAAAAGTGCAGTAGGAATATCCACAGTAAGGTTTCAAGAACATATAAGGATAATTCTACTACTTTGATTACATATTTCAAATATACACCTATCACCAACATCTTGTCTAAAAATACAAGTGCTTCTTATTTGCCCTGGTGATATCTGTCTCTCATTTAAGCAAGCCAGTCATCACCTTGTTGTAAACAAACTGGCTTTACACTTGTATATGTGGTCACTGGATTCCCCCTTGCATTGACAGTGTTAAAGGAAGACCCACACAATTCTGCACATGGTTTCCTTCAAATGGGATACTGGTCTATATGTTCCTCTGTAAGAATATTGTTCAACAATATCTGGATTCTTCAATCTGTATTATATTCTAATAATACTTCATTGTGCATATGTGATGATGTTGCTAAGTTGTGAGAATAATTCTTCAAAGGTATTTCTTGTATTTCCAAAAAGGATTACTTATTGCCTTTCTTTCTGCAGTGATAGTTGTGTGGTAGCTATTTCTAGAAATTAAAAGCATGTTGTTGTTGGCTACATTATTACCTATAACTTACACTCACCAGGACCTTAATTTTCAACAACAGTTTTAAGAAGTCTAACAAACCTCCACTCCAGCAGTACTGAATAGGCCAAGGGAACTTGCAACAGTGACAATGTGTCCATGATTCAGTTCCAGCATTTTGGGAAGGAATGCTTTTGTAGTCTGTAAAAAACACACATACAAGAGTAAGTTACTAATTCCTTATTAAACCTAATTTGCTTTCACACAAAATGCAAAACTACAAAGGATCTTTATACATCAGAATAATTTCTAGTTTTGAGGCACAGCTTTACAACGCTTTGCAAGTGTGGAGTTTAAATGTAAATAAAACTACTGCAACAAAATGCAGAGGTCAATTTATTTCTTCTGTTACTATACTTAACTTAATTTGCTCTGTTTTGACCTGAAAGCCAGTGGTCAGGCCACAATCACAAAACACTTTGAGCCATGAACGGCAGGAACCTAGCATATTTGTTTGTGACAGCATGTTTGTGAATTCTGTCTCCTTTCAGAACAGGTAAAAATACTGAAGCATGGTTTCACATTTTGTTTTTTGTGTTGTGGGAACCAGGGTACAGATGCCACTCTGCTTTGTTTGTCTTCCAACAAACAGAGACAGGATTCAAAGTTTGTTCTAGATGTCGTCTAAAGTCCATCTTAGGTCTGTTCTACATTCCATCTCTGGTTTGTCAGGAGAGAAACTACCTTCTATGCCTCACTGACAGGAATTGAGCTTGATGATTCATAGGGTCTCTTCCTGCTCTGCAGTTCTAAGATGGTGATGATGGTGACTGATCAACATAACTAAGAAATAACACTTATGGTTCATGGTACATTGTGTTGCAGAGACTAGGGACATATGGTATAGTCAGAGGCTTATAGTTCAGTCTGGGAGACCTGGGCTGGGCTCAAATCCTCACTTGGCCAGAAATATTACACAACAATATTACTAATTACTATAGTATGACTGCTAGTTTAGCAAACACAATTTCATCAATAGAAAAATCTATTAAAAAGACCCACAAGTGCTCATACAGCTATCTGGAGATGCCCTAACTAACTGTTTACAGTAAATGTTTAGATGATTGATCTTCTGTAATATGAACTGGTTTTTGATTAGTATTATCCAAGTTGCATTTACTAGCCACAAAGAACAGTGATATGGATCTCAGAACTGTCTGATGTCTCTTGACACTTTTCACTGGAATATTCTAAGTCAAGGCCTGGATAAGTTATTTTCTTGGACTATAACTTCCTGAATCCCCAGGCAGCACAGAGTCGAGTGCTAGGCTCTAATCTAAATCCACAGTCCCTAACCAAGTTTTAAACACAGAAAACATTTGAAACAAGCTAGAGTTTAAGGGTCAGTAGTATTAGCTCTAACCAAAGACAAAATCCCACATAATGTTGTCTATAAGATAAAGGTAAAGGATGCATTACTCCTTTCACAAACTGGATCACTGAAAAGTAGAGTGACTTCTTACATGTGAGAAAAGAGGGAATGCATGACCAAAAAAGGGAGGGAAGAAGATAAAAAAATTATTTAAAATGTACACATATACACATAAATGTGTAACTGCTAGATTTTAAAAAGAAGTACACAATACCTCTCACCATAACAGAAGTACTGTAATATTCCCTTGAGGTCAGGAACACTGATGGACACAAGGCTGACAAACAACAGTTTAAATTAAAGAGACATAAAACAACTGTCAGACAACATGCCTCATGAAGCTCCTATTTCAGTTTCTAACCATAATACAAGGGGTTGGTTTACCTAGGATTTGATCTTAAGGCTGGGCAAAATTTGGTCCTCCATATGTTAGACCACAGCTCCCAACAGTCCTAAGCAGCATAACCAATAGTAAGGAATGCTAAGAACTGCAACCCAACAACATCTGGAGGTGAATGCTTTACTTTTTATTTCTACAATGGTACATAAAACATTTGTTTAATAAGTGCACTTATATCCCCTTGTTCTGTTAGGGATGATGCATATAATTGGCTCCCCATTCCCTTATTTTATCCCACAGTCCTTGTCAAGTACTAGTTGCCATACAAACCATACAGGTAAAGGGCTCCCATTACAATTCAAGACAATGCTTTCAGGATGTGTCTTGCTAGTTGTTTTTAGAAATCTGAGCAACTGTTTGAGGTTTCTTAGACTAAATGTTGGCAATCTGATTTTTTTTAAAGTTGTAACAAACATGCTAGGTCAGAACAAAAATAAAAATAACCAACATAAAGAAAGTACTGGACAACACCAGCAATCATTATGTTAGACTGCACAGGGAAGCCATTACAATCCACAAACACCAGCAGAGCTTCAACAAAAAAGAATAAAGTTGAAAAGCCTGGCTCCCAGCACTGAAAAATGCAGCCTGCAAAAGTTCAATGAACTCTACCCAGCTACAAGGACCAGTGATCACTGCACATAAAAGACCAGCTAACAACACCCATCAATCACAGTGACAGATCATCTCTCCCTCTTATCACAACAATAAACCCACAACAGAAAAAAAATGATGATCACCACAATCACCCATCTCCTGAAAAGGACAAAAACTGATCCCACAGCTATAAATACCCAACTATCCAAACAAACTGCACCAGAGCACAGACAGAGTTCTGATTCCTGTCCTCTGAAGATGCTGGCCACACAGACTTCCTACATTAGGAAGAACAACCTTCAGAACACAGCCAAAGAGCCCAAAAAACCTACAGCAACCATAAAGTTATTTTGTAATCTCACCACACCACACCTGTATATGCCTCTATAGACTTGGCTGGGATTCCACCTGCAGAAATCTATTTGAAAGATTAAGACATCTACAACCACTTTACTGCAATCGCTTTGCAGCTGTCATGGGCTTGCAGGAAGTGTCAATGTGCCAGAATTGCATTTCTGCCAAAGTGACTACATATGTAAGCCAGAAATAGGACTCATTTTTAAGTTGCTACACAATTAAAGATGATCTGATTCATAATCATATTGGTAGCTTTTTTAAAGTTAAGTGACTCAATTTAAAGAAATAAAGCATGAAACTTCGAAGCAGCTAGTCACCTGGTTCACTTTCTTTTATTTAAACCACTTGGCAAACAAATCTGTTCCCTGGGTAATTGACGGTATGAGTAATTTCAGCTTCATACTTGTAGAAAAAGACTACAGCTGACTCAGTTTAATTCCATGGTCATGGTGTCTCTGTGTTTTCCCATCAGAGATGTAAGAACAGTTTCCTTTAATGATTTTCACATGTTCTTATAGAGCTTTTTTTTTTGCACCAAAGTGTTAAATGAGAAGAACTCAGAACTCTGAACACCACACAAAAGAGGGTTTTTACTTGGCAGCTGATGGATGACAGAAGATTAACATGTTCTCCCAATCTTGCTTCTACCACTGATCAGCATAAAGATTGACTTTGTTGTAGAATTTACTTGGTTTGTTGAGGGGAAATGCAACCATATACCACTATCTTAGACCCTAGCATGAATCTTTTATTGTGTTAATCTTTCTATTCCACCTTATACGTCTAAAGAAGTAGGTGAAGGTCCACAAAAGCTTACATGAAATATATAAGAGTTAGTTTTTAAGGTGCCACAATTTTTTTGTCATTTTTATTTTGCTTTTGCCTGATATGCTTGCACAGACTAACGAAACTACCTATTCCAAAACTACACGTATGTGGGGTCAATGAACCCTCTTGGTTTAAGTCTGAACCTTAAAGGAACTATCCAATGTTTTAAAACTATATAGGGAATAAGATCCAGAATCGGATAGCTTCTGAAAAGTTCAGATTGAAATCTGGAGTGGATACATCAACACTGCGAAATCTGAGTTGCCAGCTTTCACTGATGATAATGAGAAGACCAGCTCTCTTTACCGAGTAAATCTGGCTTTGTAACAGTAATCTCTGTCTTAGTTACACCACTTCTTAGCTTCTATGATGTCTTCTACATGGGTTTACCTCTAGATAGTGTTTGGAAGCTTTCCTTGGTGCAAAATGTGGGAACTACAATGTTAACTGATGCACATACTGCAATATTATCCTGATATTGAAAGACTTCCACTGGGAGGCCAATTGCCTCCCAGACCCAATTCAGGCTACTGGTTTTAACTGTTAAATCCTGAAGTGATTGAGGATCTGCATATCCAAGGAACCATCATTATGAATCTATCTGGGTGTTAAAATGTTTGGCACAGACCTTCAAGAAGAATAGCACCAGTAGAGACCTACATAATGGCTATGCAAGAAACAGCTTTCTCCCAGTTTGCTCCCAGAAAATGGCATGCGCTCCTCTCAGATCTGTGATCCACTCTCACACTTTCTGCTTTTAGGAAGAATGTTAACACACACTTCTTTAGCCTGATGACTTAAACTTATTTGATTATGAATTATTATAGCAATTATAGCAGCTTTAAATTATTTCAATGTTTACAAAGATTTTACCATATGATTTGTTCTTAATTTGCTCTTTATTTGTTTTAAATTTGGTTTTAAGTAAGTTTGTTAGCTATCTTAAGTACTCTTAGTGGAAAGGTAGCAAATAAGTAATAAATACATAACAATGTACATGGATATTTTTATTTTGCTCACTCATTCACTCACTCACTCACACACACACACACACACACACACACACAGAGAGAGAGAGACAGGAATTCTTGTTTTCTGTGTAAAATGCTGGATTCTGACAAACTCTGTACACTGTCTGTTGCACAGACACATTATACATTATCACGTTGTGAATTTGTACTTTTATACTCAAAGGCTTCACAGACTGCCTTTTCTGATTTATTTATCATCAGTGCCACCCACATAAAATTCATTTCCTGCCTGGACTGCATGAAAAAATAGTTTATTCTAGGACAAATAGACTTGTTAGACATCTAGAAGGGAGTCCATAAGAGGTTGAATAATATTTTAGTGGTTCTTCCATATACGAGAAATTGCATGGGAAACCATCATCTGCCTGGTTGAAATGCTTCCAGGCAACTACAATTTCAGTGTTTCAGTAAATCTTGCTATACGGTATATATGCAAGCATGATGAATGAATGAATGAATGAATGAATGAATAAATAAATAAATAAATAAATAAAAATAGTTGTGGGTTTTTTGGGCTCTTTATAATTGATTGATTGATTGATTGATTGATTGATTG